ATTAATATGGGGTACGTCAATGGTCAGTAATTCCCACCTACCCTCAGCCCATCTGAACATGATCCCTTGTAGCACATTCTCTGGCCCTTGAGGAAGATGTGGTTCTGTTGGGCCTGCAGTGTACTTGGGTCTTTCAACCGGTTCTTTCCAGTTGGATCCCCTGCTGAGAATTTGCTTTTCCACCTCAGCTATATTTCATCTGAGTCTGTATTTTAACAATCCATCTGAATGAACTGGTTAAATGCCCTGAGTACACCAAGCCAATCTCTGATTACCAGTGACCACTTTTAGACTTAGAATTTACCTCTAATCGTTGGAGTAGCCTGTGAGAGGATGGTTAATCTGTTAGAAATGGCAGGGGGAGAGTCAGCAGTTAAGATAATTTCTAATAAGGTTTACCTCTTTGTTATATATATAAATATATATATATATGCTCTTTAGCTATTACTTCATTATTATACTATGATTGATGATCTAGCTACTTAAGGTTTACAGCGTTCAGATAAAACCTTCAGTTTCTAGAATACAAAAGCAAGGTCACCTCCCAAAGGTAGAAAGGGCACAGGATCAGAAAGCTTCATCTTCTGATCCTGTGCCAACCTTGAACTCATACCTAGGGCCAACCTTGAATTTGTACCTTCATTGCACACAGGTTCCCCTCCCCAAATCAGATATTTTGATAATGGATTCTATGCTCATATACAGATGCATAGAGGCTCAAATGTAAAGCCCTCATTTTGACTCGACGAAGTTTTTTGTGGACCTCACTTTTCCAGTCTTAAAAAAAAAAAAAGATGTTTGCATTTAAAATAATGCTGATTAGCACACAAATAATAACCCAAGAAACATCTCACCAGGGCCATGAAAGGGGTGGCAGAGGCCAGCTAAAGGTGTCATCTTAGAAGGGTCCAATCCCGTTCCTCCCAGCAGCTCCACAAAGTCTCCTACTCCCGCACAGCCCACTGAGGGTTTCTACAAGAATAAAGCCACAGAAGAGATACATTTAAAAAGTTACAAAAGTCAAATCCTTTGACCAATTACAGGCTCTATGAATTCATTCCATCCCCACCCCCCATCCCCACCACCGCTCCCCAGCCATCCTGCCAATGCCATTCATTTATCATCCAGGACTCCGGAAATTAAAAGACACGTAAAAGGGAGCGGGGAACGTTATTAAGAATTGCTTTCCCAAATCGGTTGACTCGTCATATTTTTTAAAATATGTGTGCATGCTGTCTTTTTTCAAGTTCAAGAACTGTAATGATGAAGTGGGATCCTGTAAACCCCTTATGAGATGCACGAGAATGCTTTGCTTTTCACATCGCTTGGCTGTACACACGGAATTATTTGAACTGCTGAACACACAGAGTCAGAGTTCCACGGAGTCTAATATCTGTATCTTACAAATCAGACTGGTACATCAGGTCATTCAACATTTTCACCTAACAACCTCGCCTTTGAACAGTTTAGTCAATAGAAGGAAACAGGGGGGAATGTATAGCTTTAAGGGGAAGGGGCGTTCATGTCCTGGGGCCCATACTTGAGTGCTTTACATGGAATTTCATCAAGTGAACAAGTAGCAGTAAAGTTAGACCTATTGTATACAGCACTCCATATTCTGGTACGGAAAACTTAGTAAGATATTTGGGAGTGAAGGGGGGTGGGGAGGAGGAACCTTAATTGTCTTCTCTTCCCTCCTGGTGCCCAGGAGGAATATCTCTGAAGATTGAACTTTTCACTGGACTCTATGGGATCCAAATTTCAGCCGGCGGTGAAAGAGAAAGAGGCAGACTTGGGAGACAAAAATGGAAAATAAACATTTTGGGAAGAAGTAGAAGCTAATATGAGAATGAGGAAAGGAGTCCTTGGTAGGTAATGACTTTTCTCTCTGCTTCCCAAACTTCTCAGCTTTTCCCATAAACAAGGATATAAACTGCATTGTGTAGGGACTTTCTCTGTGAGGTTCAATTTCTCAATAGCAGTCCTGAATTTCTTTGTTGAGGTTCTTCATCCCTAGAATATGCCACTATCATCTCTTGCCTAAACTATGACATTGACCTCCTAGCCACACTCTGTAGCCCACTAACCACAAGGGAGCAGAATGTCCTTAGAGTGAGATCATGTTGTCTCCTTGCCTGTATTCCTTCAGTGGTTTCCCTCTGCTCTTAGAATAAACTCAACTCCTTAATACTCATATGTCCTGCAGAGGAACATGTCCATGGCATGGCCTTGCTCATCTCCCCAGTGTTGGCTCATACACTCCCCCGCTACCCTTGCTTCCTCTCCATTCCAGGAGCACAGCTGGCTCATTGCTGCCTCGGACCCGCTGCACTACTGTTCCCTGTTTTCAGCTCTTCTTATAGTTGCCAGGTCCTCTGTGCCTGCTGCCGAAGCCTCAATTTAAATGCTTTCTTCTCAGGGATGTGGGATAACGAGGGGGCAAAGAGGTCCAGTCTCGGAAACTCACAGGGGCAGTTCTACCCTGTCGTTTAGGGTTGCTGAGTTGGCATCGACTTGATGGCAGTGAGTTTGGGGGGTTTTCTCAGAGACAGCCTTGGCTCCCCACCTCTCCCTCTGCTCCCTTTCACTGGGTGCCACAGCGTCTACCACTCTGCCACACTTCCTACAGAGCACTTGTCAATATATGGAGCACCCTATCATTTTGCTCCCTCCTCCTCCTCCTCCTCCAGTGTAGGTTCCAGGTGAGCAAGACCTATTTGGCTTGTGGCTAATTCCCAGCATCTAGAATAATAGTAGGTATTAGGACATGATAGTAGGAACTCGTGCTTGGTAAAGCAAAGGGTCTTTGAAAAAGAGGAAGACCTTCAAGGAGATGGATTGACACAGTGGCCACAACATGGGCACACGCAAGGGGACAATGGTGAGGATGACGGGGACCCAGCAGTGTTTGGCTCTGTTGTGCACTGGGCGCTATGGGTCAGGGCGGACTCGGTTGCACCTATCAACAACAGAATAATAGTGCTTCAGTAAGCAGGCAGAATGATTTGGGAAAGGAATACTCTACATTCATGACAGGAAACGTGCCATGCTTAGTTGCCATAGTGAAAAAGAAAGCGCGGCGGTCTGTTACAGCACACCTGTGTGCTCGATATTCTGCAGCAAGAATGACAAGCAAGGCTTGAGAGCCACTCACTGACCCGTGGTCCTTACCAAAGGGTTATGCTTCCAATGAATTCCAACTAGAAGGCTAGACACTGGTCTGTGCATTTAGGGCTTTTTTTAAAAGGCGGCAGGGGAGGGGGTGGTGGTGTCATATTCCTTTTTTGCAGTTCTGGCCAGACTTATTTGACTTTCACTGAATTCTTTCTGAATAGAAACCATAGTTGTTTTTGATATCAACAAACAGCTGGGCTTTCTTAACCTAGACTTACGAGAAAATAGCAGGAAATGAGGAAGACCTTCGAGGAAAGGAGCTCTCCCAGGGCAACAACAACAACAAAATATGCTCAGGCTCAGGATTCATTTTAAGGTCATGGGAAAACAGGTTGATAGGGATTTTCAACTCTTTTTTTTTGAAGCAGAGTTAATGGAATGAAATGTAATGGGGAAAAGTCTTCCCAAAACTTTACTGCGTTTTGCAACATGAAAATCCACCTCCGTGTTTTATGTTATACTTAGCCTTCCTTCGTGCATAGCACAGCTCTGTCAATGAGAGCCTTTCTTCATGGCAAACGAAAATTCTAATAATCAGAAAAACAGCTGTGTGTGCAGATGACTCACACTAGGCTCTGCTAGGAGAGAATTTTTGTCAAAGAGGCAAGCACAAGAGAATTCAATTGTAATTATATACCACCACTTCACCAGTGGAAAACATTTTTACATCTTAAGAAAAGTTATTCAGATGGGTCACCTGAGTATGTGCCTTGCACCATCACTGCAATCAGAGAGATTTGGTTAAGGGCAGTCAACGCAAGTGCAAGGGAGATGGAATAGCCAATCAAAGATGGGCTGACGAATGAACACCACCTATCCAATCTGCTGGTGTTCTTGGTTTTCTGTGCCTGATTGCTTTTGATCTCATACAGTCAAGGTTTTAGAATGCATCAGAAGCAAGCAACTCACCTTGAACGGAAGACCACGGAAGTGCCCCAGGGTGAGATCAGATATTTTTATCGCGGCAGGGTAAATTATGGAGAAGCTGCAATTGCGATGCTGGTGTGGGACCACCAGGGAAAACCTCCCATTTGGGGTCTGGGAGATGACATTGCAGGCTTTGGAGGAAAAACAAAAACAAAAGCAAGCCACACTTGCATTATGTCATATGCTGGGTTTGGAGAGCCACTCATTCTATTGTATCCTCTGAACTTCATTGTGACCTTGGACCTTGGACCCAGAAAGACAGTGGACAAATCCTAAAGGTCATTTTGAGACAAGGTTTTAGAGAATAAAACTGACCAATGGCATGAACATTGTCCAGAGGACTTGGACTTACAAGGAGACTTCTCATCTCAGAGGGTTATCTTTTTTAGAATAATGGCTACACACATCCTAACTGGATGTAACTTGAAGTGGCTCTGGGAACACTGCAGTGAAGTAGGGGTCAGGTTCAAGCTGGGGGTCTCAGATAAACTGAAGCCTGAAGGTGATGACATAATTCTGCCTTCATTCATTGAGTCAGGATCCATGATGTTAGGGTTACAAAGAATACAATAAATCAGTAAATAATTTTTAAAGTCATGAAATAAGCTCAAAAAGATTAGAAATACAGTAAATATTTTTGATACTAAATGATACATTGACTAAAAGGTAAACTTTTAACGTTTACTTTATTCCCAAGTATTTCTGAAGTTTTTTGTTTTGTGTCTCAAACCCAGACTTTATGTTATTCTTCTAGCTATAAAACTAGGAGCATCTGAGTTGCATATTTTTGCCTATAATAAAAAAACAAACCCACTGCCATTGAGTCAACTTCTACCCAAAGAGACTCTATAAGACAGGCTAGAACTGCCCCTGTGAGTTTCCCAGACTGTACCTCTTTCTGGGAGGAGAAAGCCCTGTCTTTCTCCCAAGAAGCTGCTGGTGGCTTCAAACTACTGACCTTGTGGCTAGTAGCCCAATATGTAACCTGTACACCACCAGGGTTCATACTTGGCCTATTATAGTGACATGAATTTTCTGACTGATCCGAATAGAAGTGCCTCTTGCCTCCTTCTGATATTTTTAATTACTCTTAATTTCAAGAATACGTAAGGTTTCTTAATGATTCTAGAACTGTTCTGAATTCTAAACAACCTTTTCTTCTAGGATTATTTTACTCGTCCTCTGAAATCTAAGGCCCTTAGTCACCCATCAGACCTGATCGAGAATTCCAGTGGCTCAGATTTTAACCAAACAATAGACACATCTATAAGAAACACAATAACTCTAAGGGGATACACACAGCCATTTGAGACCAAAAGCCATACCATTTGAGATCAAAATAGCAGCATTTACCCCAGGACAGAACTCAGATGAGTTAGAAAAGGAAGAACAGAAATAGTAAAGACGGTGGGGAAGTCATAAACACGATGTTACATTATAGAGATTGCAATCAATCACATTAAACAAAATGTGTTTGAAACGTTGGATGGGAAACTGATCTGTTCCATAAGCCTTCACCTAATTCACAATAAGTATATGTACATTATTTTCTTTGTAAAAAGCCGAAGATCAGTCACTAAATTCTTTGGGAGATTAAGCTCCATTTTTCAACCACATAATGTTAATAATGAGTGATAGGTTTTCTTTTAACTTTTCTTCTTCTAAAAATTTTGTCTTGTTGAGAAGAAAACAACAAGCAGATAAACAAACTTATTTTGATTAAGAAAATGTGATTTGGATCTGGGATACTGAGTTTTACAGAATAATCTGTTTTTATCTACCAGAGATGAACTAAATTAGAGTGGTAGGCTCAGAATCACAAGGTAAGAATGAGGTCCCCTGTCTGGGGCAGTGGTTCTCAACCCTCCTCATGCCGTGCCCCTTTAATACAGTTCCTCATGTTGTGGTGACCCCCCCAACCATAAAACGATTTTTGTTACTACTTCATAATTGTCATTTTACTGCTGTTATGAATCAGGCGACCCCTGTGAAAGGGTCATTCGACCCCCAAAGGGGTCACAACCCACAGGTTGAGAATTGCTGGTCTAGGGACTGTAGAACCGCTGGTCCACCCCAGACACGAAGTTGTTCAGTCTTTGTCTAAATATCTCAAGGACTGCTACCTCCTAGTTGGTCTCTCAAGCTTATCAATGATAAATGGGATGACTTGGAGGGATTAGTTTATCACTGAATGTATTGTAGTACCTTAGGAGCGCAAAATAAGACTTTGGGGAAAATTGTGGTTTTTAACTGCCGTGATGTACCTAGCTTAGAAAGAAATTAAAAACTGCAATTTGATTTTCATAAAGAAGAGAAAACTATCTTTTAAGTCATTTTTAATTATAAAAAAAATCTTTTTAATTCCGATTTAAATCATTCCTCGGCTCCCATTTCCTAAGCCTGTGCAATAATCCTAAGCAGATTTGACCCTCAAATCCGGCTTGTCAGCCTAGAGGACAAGGGGCCCACTTACGAAAGAGATTAGGATCCGTCGTGATGGTTAACGTGAATCCGTTCCCTGGCTCCTGGACTCGGAAGAAGACCATAGCCACATTCTGGGAGGATCTGATGGTCCTTCGGCTAAGACCACTCTTGCAGAAGTCGACGTACCGCTCCGTGGTGGGCAGAGGATGGTCCTGGGAACTGGGAAACTTCTCCCCCTTGAGAATCCAACCATCAAATACCTTCCAACGAAAAATACAAACACAGATCATCGTTTCCTTCGGCTGCTTATAGGATGGGTATGTTGCAAAGGGGAACGCTTCTAGTCAGGCACCTTCTGACTTAAGTGAGGAATTGACACCTGCCTGCCCCTGCCTGCTTCGTTGTTGTTGTTGTTAGGTGCCATGGAGTCTGCTCTGACCCATCATGACCTGCGTGATGCACAACAGAAGGAGACACTGCCCAGCTCTTGGCTGCCCTCACAAGCGTTCCTATTTGAGCCCGCACTTGCAGTGCCGGTTTCAATCCATCTCCTTGAAGGCCTTCCTTTCTTTCCCTGCCCTCTCCTTGCTTCCTTGTGTACATTTTGACTCTGAAGGTAGTATGTCCCTTTTTCTTTATACACTTTCAAGTGTCTAGAAACCCCCACTGTGATTCTCACAGTCACCTGAAAGGGCAGGATGGAACTGCTCCGCGGGGTTCCTTTCCAAGGCCGGCCTCTCTGCAGATGCAGACTGCCACATCCTTCTCCCAAGTCACCCACCTTGAATTTAGCAGCCTGATTCTTAGGGCTCCTCCCCGGCCCCCTCCCCGCCTCCAGGGCTCCTTAAAGTGTCCGTAGCTTTAATGAAAGTAAAGGAACCTTGTCATCCTGGAGTTGATCACTTTGTCAATGAAGACACAGGCAATATGCACTCTTACCCTGCTCGCACTTTCTCCCTCCCCCTCCTGAGAAATTCCACAAAAGCTGCAATGTGAACAAAACGCCTCCAAAATACCCGAAGCCAACACCGGGGCAGCCACTTTACATGCTACTAGCGATCGAGGATCCATTTCCCTCCTTTTAAACGAGCGGTTCTCAACCTGTGGGTCGCGACCCCTTGGGGGTTAGGAAGACCCTTTCACAGGGGTCTCTCGATTCATAACAGTAGTAAAATGACAGTTATGAAGTAGCAACGAAAATAATTTTATGGTTGGGGGGGGGTCCCACCATATAAGGAACTGTCCAAAAAGGTCGCGGCATGAGGAGGGTGGAGAACCACTGCTTCAGCGCTCGGACCAGGACGCCGGTCCGTCCCTAGGCGCTTAACTGTGCAGTTGGAGGAGCGATTGACAGGTTGCTTTCACCATCGCCACAGGCAGCAGGCTCCCAACCAAGGGCCACATGAGCTGACCCACCCACCACCCCACGACCAGGGCCTTGGCCCGAGCACTGGCCCTCTGATGTGTTATACCGGTTCCGACCCAATGCCGCTTTGGAAGTTTGAATCACGATTCTTTTACTTGGGCAACAATAAAACTCCAGCAGCCAGCCTAAGGTACCCCTGTACAGCTGGGGGCGAGCGGATTGTGAGCTGGGGGGGCCTCGTCCATCCCTCCCTCCTGACCCAAATTAGACACCCCGCCCCCAGTCCACCCCCCCACCCCCCAGCTCCGGGAACCCGGACTGCGAGCCCAGAGCCCGGATCCCAGGAGAGGGGCAGGCGAGAGCCAGGCCGCGGGAGTCCGACACCTGGGGCTCCAGCTCCGCAGCTCCGGCGGCTCGGGTGCGTTTGGCTGCGGCCTCTCGCGGCTCCAGGTCAAGTTCTGGGAAGCGCTCCCCGAGAGCGCACGAGAAGCGCGCCCCTGCGGGGTGCGAACCTGCGGCGTGCCGGGCTCCGGCTCGGGGCTGCGGCTCCGGGGAAGGGCTGGCCCCCCGCCCCGCCTCACCTGCAGGAAGTCCCCGCCCTGACAGTCGATGGCCACCGCGTCGTAGCGGACGCTGATGAACTCCTCGGGCTCGCTGATGAAGAAGGCGGCGCAGTGGAGCTGCGGCCGGGCGGCGGTGAAGGTGAACTGGCCCGGGAGGCTCAGCAGGTCCAGGCAGCCTGCGGGGAGGGCGGCGGGGCCACCGCGTGCGGGCGCGCCCTCCGTCCCTGGCTCTGCCCGCCACCCTGCGCCCCGACTCCCAGCCCCCCGGAGCGTCGCCCCCGCCTGCCCCCAAAGCCCTGGCCACCTCCTTTCCCCGCAGGGACCCCGAACCCCCGCCGTCCCCCCGCCGCCGCTGGCGGAGACTCACGCAGGGCGCGGCGGTAGGGCTGCTCCCCCTCCAGCGCCCGCTTCAGGTCTGAGCCGAAGAGGAGGAACCGGTCCTGGTCCGCCGCTTCCCGCAGCTGGAAAGGAACAGGGGTCCGTGGGGGAGGGGGGTAGTTTAGTGGGCGGCAAAGAAAGGAGTCGGGGTGGGAGCGGGGGCAAAGCGCCGACTCTGTCCCACAGCCAAGAGGAGAGCCGGGGTGGGTGGTCCAAAGTCTCCCCGGGGGTCCGGAGGTCTTTCTGAGACCCTTCAGACCAGGGCATCCCAACTGCCCCAGGGTTAGGCGGCTTGGGGTATGATCGCGCAGCGAGGAAGATCGGGGAGTTAGCGCGCCCCCCACCCCGCACACAGGAAGGAAAGAGCCAAGACCCACTGTGGCGGAGTAAAGAGGGCTAGCAGAGGCAGCCAGCCCAGCCCTCAAGGGAGACCCTCGCGAGAGGAAGATGCAATGGACCGGTCCCGGGATGCTCACCTCTAGGTACCGACCCTCGCCTCTCAGAGCCACCAGGACGATCAGGATGAAGTGACACTGAAGTTTGAAGGTAGCGGACATGCTGGCCTTGCTTCTGCAGCCGGTGGACTTCCCTCCGGGGGCCTGGGGGCTCCGCCAGCACACCTTCATCCAGGCTGAGAGCTGGAAGCTGGTAGGGTCCCCTGGCTGTGCCTCTTTATAGCGCAGTGGGGAGGGGAAGCTCTCTGCCCCTCAACTGATCCAGCTCAGTAACCATGGGTTACCTTGTCAGGGACGATGTGCGTGGAGATGACGAGGGTCCAGCGCTCAGCCACCAATTTTCAGCGTGGTCCAGCATTATTCACCAAAGATGATTTCACTCACTCTGCCTTGATGAACTCAAGTGTGGGAGAAGGAAGCTGGAAGGACAAGGCAGGAGCAAGGGCATTTTACCTGGCCTGCTAAATGTTGCATTCTATCCTCCTGGGGACAGTGCAGCCCCAAAAGGTCATAGACTGGGAATTGGGGGCTTTAAAAAGCAAAATAGCAAAGCAACACGCACGCATAAGACACCCAAACACATATAGCCTTAACAAACACCCGTGTCACAGAACCTGGATAGAATCGTTCTGGAAATGGTCAGAGCATATTCTATTCTTAAACTGTTGTGAGGTGGGACTAAGACTTTTTTTGTTATTGTCTGACATGATTAGAGTCCCTGCCCCACCCACCCGTCCTCCTTTTACAGCGATCCAGAGCGAACTGTCACCTGTGCTAAGTCTGAATGTCAAGGCGCCATAGAATAACAGACCCGGGTACTAAATCTCTGATCATGTCTGAGCGGGGACAGGGGTGACTGCAGATTGTATTGAGAGCGAAGAGAGGCACGCTGATCTCTTACTAGTATGCAGAGAGACTTTGGGTCACCCTGGGAAGATGGTTTTCACTTGATTGTGACAGGCTCTGTTCTCTGCCATGGCTTTATTCATTGAGTTGCCAGACACAGCAAAAATCACTAAACAACTTCAAATCCCTAACTGTTCTAGCGTCCTATAGGCCTGTATGTATTCACTGCCTGCAACAATACACTTATTCTTTGGTTAACCTGCCCAACAGAAAAATTTTAATTTTTTTCTTTGGCCACAATTCACATATCATACAACGTAATAGTCCAATCACATTAAGAAAAGTTGTACAATCATCACCACAATCAATTTCACAAGACTTTTTTCCTTTCTTGTACTCATTCTTGTTGGCTCCCTGTTTCCCCCCAGCCTCCCCTGCCATGCCCCTAGGGATTTCATATACAGAAATCATACAAAAACAGATAAATCCAACAACAATGACAAAACAGAACAGAAAGACCTCAATAGAAAAGAAAGCAGAAAATAATAAAAACGGAAGCAACTTTAAAATGAGTCAAAAGGAGATCAAATGATAAGGTGTTGACATTTTAACCTAACTACATCTGCCATAGTCAAACTTTACAATGCTCTCTGTCTGATTGTAAGGCTATTCACACCCCTGGACTATCATCAGAGAGATACTGGAGACTTATTGTATGTGGGGACTCTGTAAATGGCTTTTGGGCTTCCACTGTCATCCATAGCTTTCTGCAAACTACTGTTCAGAGTTTAAGTTTTCTGATACCATTCCCTCCTCCAGATTTGGATTTTATTATTTACAATCCCTGGATCACATAAACTAGTGTGCTTCTTCCATGTGGAGTTAGTTGAACCCTCACTGAGATGGCTGCTTTCTGTCAGACAAGTCTTTAAGGTTACAGATAGCTTTCTGTACTAGCTTTCTGATAGCCAGGCACCATCTGCTTTCTTCACCACACTTTGCTGTTATACCCACAGCTTCAGTAATCTCTTCATGAGAACAGGTATTGAGTAGAACCACATCACAAGAACTAATTATTCTTAGCTTAGGGCTATGCTTAAGTGTGAGGCCAAAATCCATCCATATGTCTATGGTTTATGTATGTCTCTGGTTCACTTTAGAAACATCATTATTATTTTATAATAGAACACTATAAATCATACTCATGGGTAATTCTATTGATAGTGTCATTTAGTTTAGCCAATGGTATAGAATTTAAAACACTTAAGAGAAGGAAATTATACACGGATAGGCTGGGTTTTCGACCACTATACATGAATTGTTGACTTGTAAAGATTAAAACGATAAGTAACTGGGCACTATTTACTGGAAGAATGAAGGCTGAGGCTAAGGCAAAACTTTCAATAACACATTCACAAAGGCAGAGGAAACGTTGTTAGTGAATGCTTTGAAGACTCTCCCCCTTGGCTGCGCATTTATTATAGGAAATGGAATATAAAATGAATTTTTTAAAAAAAGAACAATTTAAAAAAGGAAAGCAAAAAAAAGGGGGGAAGTTGCAAAAAAAAACAAAACGTTTTTTCAGTTGCTTTCAAGATAACATGTTTGACTCAATTTGGCTATTTTTAATGCAACTATTTTAAAATAGGTAACATTTATTTTCAGGTGTATTTCAGATCAGGAAGGAAGAAACTAAGTAAATACTTTCCGGGGAACTAATATAAATTAGTCTTGGGATGCAATACTCGTGTGCATAAGCTAGTTTCAGCCCCAATCCTTGATCCCTCACTGAGGCTCCAAGGGTCAGCGGTCAGGAGCAGGTAGGAATTAGAGGGGGTGCAAGGGACGGGTTCCCAACTGGAGCTTAAGTCACAGGGGAGTTACTTAGCAGGGCACAAGGACATCTTTCAGAATGCCTGCGTGGCAAAACTCAGGCACGGGCTTGGATGAGGCCCCAGGGACTGCTGTCTTCAGGCTGCCTCCTTATTGCTGCGGGGGGTGGGGGTGGGGGGGGGGGGGTACTGGAAAGCCAACCACCAGCAATTTCTCCACTCTACATGTTACAGGGAGCCCTGGTGGTGTAGTGAGTTTTGTGTTGGGCTGCTATCCACAAGGTCAGCAGTTTGAAACCAGCAGCTGCTCGTAGGGAGAAAGATAAAGCTTTTTATTCCGGTAAAAGTTATAAGCTCAGAAACCCACAGGACAGTGCTACCCTATCCTACTAGAGTTATTTTGAGTCAGACTCAACTTGATGCCAGAGAGTGAGGCATGAGACTACCCAAAATACCCGGAGCTGATGTTCTCAGACTGCCCAGGCCACAGAACTGTCCAGGAAGTGGCACAGAGGGCTGACTCCTGTTGCAGCACAGTTGCTTCCAGGACAGCCGTAGTGGTAGAGAAAGGGGGGACCCATTCCCAGGAGAGGCGGTACTGGCTTCACAAAGTAACTGGGATCCAAAACACCATAGGGTTCTCTAGGTAGCAATTTTCGGGGGAGCAGAGGGCTGCATCTTTGCCTCACTAAGTCACGGAGTTAGCAGCTGAGAAAACCAGTGGCTAAAAGAGGTCGTTAAACCTGGATGGTTGGTGTTGGTGTTCTGGATACCAGTCTGGATACCAACCCCTCTAATTCCTACCTGCTTCTGACCGCTGACCATGGGAGCCTCAGTGAAAGACAAAGGATTGGGGTTGAAACTAGCTTTGAAATGGAATCGAAATCCACTCAATAGCACCTAACCAGAAGCACACATGTACACACATGTGTGTTGGATATTATAATAGAAATTAAATCTTATATGTAACATAAAAGCGATAGCTTTAAATAGTAGCTATTGTTGAATGCTACCAATCATATTGCATGTCATTATCTGTGCTCTGACAGCTATGATAGCAGTCTCATAAGAGTGTATATATAGGGTATATTTTTATTAGATTAAAACAAATGACTCCCTCTCAGAACATTAACAGACTCAAATTTTGTAGTTAAAAAAGAGGGAAATAAGATTAAAAATCATTACAGATCTGCATTTCAAAAGATTAGGTAGGAATGGTCCCATTAAAGGTTATGTCCAATATTGGATAACGGCTCACTCTCATAAGGGAGAAAAGCTGAACTGTAGAGTCATGAAAAACTTGAGGCAAGAGGGCACTTGAAATTTTAAAGCAGAAACAGAAGATCACGAGTGTGGCAGTTACATAATCTCATGTCAACTTGGTAAACAGAATGAAGGAGTGGAGTTTAGCCTGTCAATCGGGTCACAGTCTGATGATCCCTCCTTGTGGGCATGGCCTTCTCATGAGGATTCTGGGAACTCTCTCTTAATTCTGTCATCAGAAGAGACAGGCCTCTCTCTCTCTCTCTCTCTCTCTCTCT